GTTGGCAAAGCGACTGCAAAAACCTTGTCACAATAGCAGTGCTACTGCCTGTCCTGAGGCTGAATTGAATCCATGTACATGTATATATACATTGTACCTGTAATCTGTATGTTGTGCAGATGGATGGTGACTGTTGGGGAGGATTCTTTGATTGGCAATGACGGACTGACAACCTTGCGGGCAGAGTACAGGTCATTGTTTGCAGGGCTGGGTAGAGCTTCAAGTTCTCTCTAGGTGTGCTTCACAAAACAGGTCTCTATTAATGTTGTGCATTTTTCCAATAATTTAGTCTTTGAATATTGGAACTTGAATTTGAACAAAAAAATCATCCAATGACATTGAAATAATTTGGAATGTATCGATATAGATTTTGAGCTAGCTGACAACCTGGCATTTGGCAGATATTGAAGATCCACATTAGGGCTTACATTCCTCATGAAAACTCTCAAACCATCTGCGTAAAGTGTGGCGTTTGACTTAACAAATCAAATCTCTCAACTTAAACTCATAAAATCACATCATGGACGGTTTTTTGTCATTGCTCACATTAAAAAAACAATTCAATTTGATAAAATGCTATTCGGATATTCGGTGGATGATCAAATATTTGGATATTCGGTATATTTTGCACAACCCTTGTCTAGACTAAGCAATTGCAATTTGTTCCACACTAGTGCAAAAGTATGTTTAGAGATGATGCATTCATGAACATGTATGAATGTTGGTGCTGCTTTAATACCCCACATGTACAATCAGTTACACGTATAATGTGATATGGAAGTAAACAAACCCTGTTAGTTTGGATTTACCAAAGGTGTACTAACTTGAACTTTTCCAATGATTTGATTTGTACTTGACAGAATCCAGCATCTGTTATCATTATCAAGCCCATCAGGTCCTGAAGTGACATACTTCCACAAAGAACCATCAACGCGGGCAATTGTCACACAGAAACACCCACAAAAGAGACATCCACATGCAGGTCAGTGTGTAACACCGCACTGGCAACTCTACCAACGGGGCTGCAGACTCATATTTGTCAATGTCCTTGGCCAAAATTTGTTAATCAATTCCCTCGCCCATCCATGGGCAATTCTACAGAATTATAAACCTGAATGCCAACAATTCTTAATGGCCAAAATGCCACAAAAGAAATATACATATCAATTTGAAGCATATTATCTGTATTTTATTGACATGTAGTTTATTTAAAAGGGAAGATACAACATCATTGCAAACATCAAAAAACGAAATGATCAAATTATGACGAAATATATTACTGGACTGTCAGTGAATGACAGTCTAAAGCATCCTGTAAAATTCATATTTAGTCATTCCGCATTTTCTTTGCAATCAATTACGCATCTGTGTAGGGGTACAAGCCTGCTAGACTGATTCTCTGACCTAACTTCCTCAAAGTGTACAAAGTGCTACGTCTCATCTTACGTCTCATGTCACCAGACCACAAGAACATGGTTGGATTTCTTAGATTTTCTGGCATTTCCGAACCCAAAACGTGAAATAGGTCAGTTTAAAGGGAAGATACAACATTGGCAAATATTACAAAACGATATGAACAAAGTATCACTAAATACCTTAGTGGATTGTTAGGGGATGACAGCCTAAAGCATCCTGTAAAATCGTGGCTCCTGGTGTGCTGACATTTAAAAAAAAAAAATGGTATTTTTCCAACGCTGGTCGGCCGACCAGCAATGGAGAAAACTGTTTTTTTTTTTAAAACTACTCCTAATTTTTCATAATTAGTTATTCTGTGTTTTCTGTGCAATTGATTACACACCTTTGAAGGGGTACAAGCCTACTAGACTGCCTCTCTGATCTTACAATCCCCCAAAGTCTATAAATTCTCTGTTTCATCTTAAATGGGGTCTGTGAACCAGACTACAAGAACATGAATGGTTTTCTTGGTTTTTCCAACATCTACAAGCCCAAAACGTGAAACAAGTCATTTTAACAATATTTGCTAAAACATACTAATCCTCCAAATCCATTTATTTCTGATTATTGCAGCAAAAGCAAATGTTGTACATGCCCTTTAACAATATTTTTTATAGCACACTAATCCCCCAGATGCACTTATTTTGAACATTGCAGCAAAAGCAAATGTTGTACATTCCCTAACAAGTTCAACAGTTTGGCTGTTACTTGTAAATGGAAAATCAATTGATGACAATACAAAAAATTGATTTGTCTGAGTACGTCCGGTGTTTTGAGCCAATTTCTACTACAGCAACAAAGTTGGATGAATAATTTCTTCTTTGACTCATCAAAGTAACTAGTGACTAACTGATATGTTTTATCAGAATTAAAATCTACCCCGTGATTATAACTACAATTACATACACTGTTGAATTGCCCAAAATGTACGTCTGACACTGCGGAACTGCCCCCATTTAAACATTATTAAGAGTAAACCTAGTCAAGTTCCCTTGTATTGGGTATTTTAAGTGTCAACAGTTCTTCAAGTTGTCCTAAATGTCTCATCCTTTTCCAAACAAGCAAACAACTCAAGGAATGCCATGGATAAGCCAGTTCGGTATTTCAACTGCTTATGTGCACAACGATATGGGTCACCGGTCATTCGGGATAGTAGAACGATCAAAGGCGCATGAATGCGGGTGCGCGACGCTTGTGTGTAAATTACCACCAGAGTGGTCGTGCGCGTAACATCGCCTAACATCGTGTCAGCAATGTTATCCCAAATGACCTCAGGTCATTGAAATACAGAACTGGTTTATTACAATGAATTACAGTCGGGCATTAGAAGACTTTTGACCCAACTTTGAACATTGCATTTTATTCTGGCAAACAATTATATATCTGCACACACTGTCCATCAGATTTCAAAGGTATATGAAGGTGTAACCTGTAATTTCCAAGACGTCTCATGTTTTCTTCTTACTTGCCTGTCTGGTTTTTTTTTCCAGAGGGTGAAATATTGGGGTTTAAAAGCCAGAGTGCCAAGCAGACCACAGAACAACAGAACACGGAGGAATGCACAACACAGAGTTACTGCTAACACAAAAGGTAGGTAGAGATTACATACCGGTATGGTTGAGGCAAAGGGTGGTTGATAAAACATTGCAAAGCCAACACTCCTCAGATCTCATACCAACCATATCAGGCCCATTTTTAGTATTTGTGGGTCAGATAAACTAGTGGATCATAGTATTAATACAATGTATGTCAAATCAGGTTTTGCCCTTCATTGATGTATAAACACTGAATACTCAGTGTGTTACCTCCTGAGTAAAAGTTGGAAAAAATCACTCGGTTGGGACTCGAACCCACAACCTCCTGCTTTCTAGTGCAGATGTTTTACCACTTGACCACTGAGCTAATGGGATCGGTTGGCTGGCTCGAATCTGATGTATTGGCCCTTATGAAAATTCCCCCTAGTCACCACAGTGTGTTATCTGTGTGGTCATAGTGTGCACACTATGATCACACCGAAACCACACTGTGAACACACAGTGAAAATTGCACACTGTGAATTGCCACACAGTGAACACACTGTGAAATCACCGTGGATTGGCCACAGTGTCTGTTCACACCGAGAACACACTGTGAACACACTGTGGTCATTCCACAGTGTGAATTGCCACTCTGTGAACACACTGTGAATTCACCGTGGATTGTCCACAGTGTCTGTTCACACCGAGAACACACTGTGAACACACCCAGTCATTCCACAGTGTGAATTGCCACTCTGTGAACACACTGTGAATTCACCGTGGATTGTCCACAGTGTCTGTTCACACCGAGAACACACTGTGAACACACTGTGGTCATTCCACAGTGTGAATTGTCACTCTTTGAACACACTGTGAAATCACCGTGGATTGTCCACAGTGTCTGTTCACACCGAGAACACACTGTGAACACACTGTGGTCATTCCACAGTGTGAATTGCCACTCTGTGAACACACTGTGAAATCGTGGAGTATTGACCACACAGAAAACACAGCGAGATCACACTGTGTTCACACGGTGACCATTTCACATTGTGACATCTCCCAGACTATGAAAACTGTGTGAATGATGTGTGATTGGTCCACATAGAAAACACACTGAGATCACACTGTGTTCACACAGTGACCATTTCACATTGTGACCATTTCCAGACTATGAGAACTGTGTGAATGGTGTGTGATTTGAACATAGTTGGTCCACACAGAAAACACACTGAGATCACACTGTGTTCACATGGTGACCATTTCACATTGTGACCATTCCCAGACTATGAAAACTGTGTGAATGATGTGTGATTTGAACAATTGGTCCACACACTGTGACAGGTTCACACTGTGAACGGCCACTGTGTGAACACACTGTGGACTCTTTGTGATTTTGTCAGTGTTGGTCCACATTTAGAGCACACTGTGAACACACTGTGACAGGTTCAGACTGTGAACCGTCACTGTGTGATAACACTGTGAACTCACCGTGATAATTTCACAGTGCTGGTCCACTGAGAACACTGTGAAAACACTGTGACATTTTCACATTGTAAACCGCCACTGTGCGAACACACGGTGGACTCGCCGTGACTTTAAATTACATTGAAACAAAATTCTATGTTGAGAATTGCTGCTGTCGCACCAGAATCTTTCGATATTTTTTTGAAAAATGTTTATATTTATTTAAAAACATTCTTTTTTTATGCATCTTGAAATTGCGTTACCCTCACGGTTAATTTTTGTCAGTTGTGGAATGTTGTATCGACATACATACATGTTATATTTCGAAGTGCAAACATCGTGTCAGGAAAAATAATAACTTGTTGCCTTTTTACAGAAACATATATCAAAAGCCGCGAGTTTGTGTGCATGCATGCCAAAACAGTGACGCCAACCAATCATATGACGCGTAATTTGCAACAGCATCCTAGGTTGTAACGCGCTGGCCAATCAGAGTACGCTCTTTGAATTTACAATCGCGCGCCAGGCCTGACGACCGTTGACCTTGCTTCGCCAACCGCCATGACAGTACTGCTGCATGTGTCATGTGTGTTCCAGCAACGTGCAATCGCCGTCGTTTTACTGAAATATCAGGTAAGATTTTGCCATGAAACTTCGTTGTTATTGTTATGATGTGTCTTAGACAAACCTGGATTTAATTCGCAGCATTTTTCTGATTAATTTCATTCGATTTCTCCGCTAAACGATAGACAAAATATTGACACATGTACACGTACTGTACATGTACACACACAGAATCACGCACGCAGTAGGCTATAAATGTATGCACCATACACAACAGACGGGTGCCTCGAAAGGGTTCGTGTCATTTGAAATGCTGTGGAGTCTGGGTACAGTGCGGACATAGTACATCATACATGTACATGTATTTCTCGTCATTTTTTCTGCAAGTAGCCTACTGCATGTAGCACTATATTGTGCCTAAAGTTTAATAGTAAGTAAAGACTAAAGTTCTTGTTTTTTAATCTGGAAGCTTAGACATGTTAGAGTCCAGTATGTGGCAAAACAGTTGCGGCAGGGCTATACGCAAGCACATGTTAACTTTTCCTCGACACTATCCTGACTAGCCCTACATCCAAACATGACCCAAACTTATGGACATTTCTAAGTACTGCTGTAGAAGTATAATTATTTACGTTGTGGCTATCGTTACGGCAGCTGTGACGTGACTTTCAACTAGCATGACTGCTAAGTGCTATCGTTACAGAACTGACTGGTTCTCTGCATAATAGCATTCAACGTCCGATCTTGAAGAATATTGGGCATCTGTAAATCTGATATTCGTTTGCATTGTTTTTTACAAGGCCGTAACAGTAGTAATGATTACAAATAATACATGAAGTATTTGAAAATGGCGTTACAGCTGTCGTAACGATAGCCACTTTGATAATATTATAACAACTTGCGTTTACGTTTGTTTTGTTTGGTTTACCCATGCTTACAGTCTGCCTTTATCTTTTTTTCCTGATGCCTTGATCTTTATCTGTTGTGGATTTGTTTAAACTTGTACCACCATGTTTACATCCTTCTTGTCATGTTTGATCTTGAGAATAAGAGATTTTTTTTTCTCATCCAAGACCAATGGGCTCATGACCAAGTGATTGAAGACAGTTCATCAATGATGGCCAGAGTCAGAGTGGAACCTGAAGACAGCAGGTGACGGGACAAATATGTCTTTTCAATTAAAACAGGTACATATACATGTACATGTATTTAAGTCTGTCAGATTTAAACATTTTTGCAGATTGTTCTGGTTTTAATGTAAATTCTGAACCCCCTCAAAAAAAATATACTGGTGTAATGTTCGCCTGTAAAATAAATTGTTGCTGTGACACACACAGGATCTGCCCCTATGTTTCGTGTGAAAAGGAAAAGGACATTAGCAGGCCAGGCACGGCACGCTAAAAGCACTTTTGGAGACAATCGAGTTGAAAGTTTTGTGCTGCCATTTTTTGATTAAAAATCACTTGTAATTGAAATTTTGAAGGATGACATTTGTCGATAATTAGAATAATTTTGGACATTTTTAGGTCAAAATATTACTTATTTGTAAAGACATTTCAAAGTTAATGCTAAAGTCTTTTTACCGGGAACTTCCCATTCCTTAAACGTGCGCTTCAGCTGCATGTGAAATCCTTACGTCCTTTTGACGGGAACAAAATTGGCCTTGCGTACATAGGTATTACATAAACATCCTTTTGCCGGGCAGTAATATATTAAAAATCCTCCTTCCATCCTTTGTTTACTGTTAATTACGTCAAATGACGTAGCTCCTCAAGACAATATATATATCAAATGACACATATTCCCAAGCTCTATTGATTATCCGAAACATCTGAATTTGACCTTTGACCCATTTCTTGCCCTTACGACCTTCTTCCAGGCCCCCGACTGGGGATTGTTTTGAATTAATACAAAATAAATTATAAGTATGTTTGATTTGTCTTTTATAGCGAGTATCCAAGAAGCTTCAGAATGGCAAGGTGATGGATGTTGCTGGTTGCTGATTGTTGCATCTCCTGCCAAGTTTGCGCCAGAAAGGAGACGTGATGGAGGGACATGCCTGGGACCCATTCACCTTCATCTTAAGTCTTACCGTTGTACGGTCATTACTTAAAATACAGGCAGTATCAAATATTTTAATACACGTATCTGAATAATTGATCAATGTTCTCTTCTAGGGTGACTGTTATTTTTCCATAAGTGTTCAACAGGGAAAAGTTCTCAAGTTATGGAAACTCAACTACTGTCTTTAAGGTAGAATGGACCATTTTCCTTTACATGTTTGAAATGTTTCATTTGAAGCAACAGAAGTGCTTACGAATCTAAAGATTGGAACTGAAAATCAATCTCATAAAGTTTTAGTTCAGTGAATGCTTTATTTAGGGGAGAACACATTTTCTTGATCTTGATTTAGTCAAAGTTTGTTAATGCATGAGTGCCTAATTCTCGCTCAGCCACCAAACCGATGACTAATGGCAACGAAACTAATGTTTTGCAAATGCAACCCCAAAACAAGTTTGGGTCGGGTCAGGTTGTTCATTTCAGTAGGGTCGGTGTTGGTTTTGCATTTGCGATTTTCAGGTCAGTTATTGTACAAAGCCAAAATAATTGGGGGAAAAACCCAGAAACAGTTCGGATATTCGCACGGTTCAGTCATTTTATTGCAGAGTCTTTGTGCTGGTACAACAAACTGTGGTTTATAGTCTATCGTGTGCTGTTAGTATTCACTGTACCTTATGGTTCGTTACAATTATTTATACATGTATTTAAACCAAGTTCAAAATTTACGCAATAAATATTTCTTTGAAACATGCATAATGGAAACTTTCTGTTGTGAACTGTATTTAATTGTGATCTCTATTATGGTCACCCTGTGCGGACACTGTGATCACTATATGGTCACACTGTGCGCACACTGTGATCACTATATGGTCACACTGTGTGGACACTGTGATCTCTATGTGGTCACACTGTGTGGACACTGTGATCTCTATATGGTCACACTGTGTGGACACTGTGATCACTATATGGTCACACTGTGCGCACACTGTGATCACTCTATGGTCACCTGTGTGGACACTGTGATCTCTATATGGTCACACTGTGCGGACACTATTATTACTATATGGTCACACTGTGTGGACACTGTGATCACTATATGGTCACACTGTGCGCACACTGTGATCACTATATGGTCGCACTGTGTGGACACTGTGATCACTACATGGTCACCCTGTGCGGACACTATGATTACTATATGGTCACACTGTGCGGACACTGTGATCACTATATGGTCACACTGTGTGGACACTGTGATCACTATATGGTCACACTGTGTGGACACTGTGAACACTATATGGTCACACTGTGCAGACACTGTGATCACTATATGGTCACACTGTGTGTACACTATGATCTCTATATGGTCACACTGTGCAGACACTGTGATCACTATATGGTCACTGTGTGGACACTGTGATCTCTATATGGTCACACTGTGCGGACACTGTGATCACTATATGGTCACTCTGTGTGGACACTGTGATCACTATATGGTCACACTGTGCAGACACTGTGATCACTATATGGTCACACTGTGTGTACACTATGATCTCTATATGGTCACACTGTGCGGACGCTGTGATCACTATATGGTCACACTGTGCAGGCACTGTGATCTCTAAATTGTCACACAGTGTGGACACTGTGATCTCTATATGTTCACATAGTGTGCACACAGTGTGAACACTATGAACTCTATATGTTCACATAGTGTGCACACATTGTGAACACTGTGATCTCTATATGCGCACACTGTGAAAACTCTGTGTTCACACTGTCATGACACTATGAATTTGTTCCAAATTCACAGTGTCGCACACAGAGAACACAGTGTGATCACAGTGTGACCACTGAGTGGTATACACCATATGTACACTATGTGAACACACTGTGTTCACACAGTCATGACACTATGAATTGTTCCAAATTCACAGTGTCACACACAGAGAACACGGTGTGATCACAGTGTGACCATACAGTGTATACACCGTATGGACACTATGTGAACACACTGTGTTCACACAGAAGTTCCACACTGTGGTGACTGGGGGGAATTTCATAAGGGGGTACATGGCAGCGGGCATCGCATTAACTATTTATAAGGTCTATGGGATTTTAATTTTTTTTTAAGCATTAATATGGTTAAGGTTTGTGACTCATGATCAGAGGGTCAGGGGTCCGAATCTAGTTGCCGGTTATATGTGTGTCCTTGGGCAAGCCACTTCACCCCCACTTGCCTCTCTCCACCCAGGAGTATAAATAGGTACCGATATTAGCTGGGAAGTAACCTGCAATGGACTGGCATCCTATCCAGGGGGGATAAAAAAATATCCTCGGTCGTTTCATGCCTTTGAAACCGGAGATGTATTGGCTAATGACAGACTTTACTTACTTTCATAGTATTAATAGTAAATATATATATCTGTTGCAGCTTTTGGTAGGTGTGTTGATAATTCCTTGATCAGCTGATGAAATTACCTGTAGTTACTCCCCTGAGAAGTGAGTTTGGCAAAAAAGCCGCCTCATCATACCATGAACTTTCCAAGATTAGTTACATACGTTATCCCAGTAAAGTTGCTTCAATCACGATAATTGATCAGATCATCTCCAAAATGGTGGTTTCTTTTGTCCGAGTCTGTACCAGCAGGTTGATCCTGTTACCATCCATCAATATTTTCCAATCCTCATTTCAGTCCAACAGCGCCCAGCCCAAAGCTGTCCATCCTGATTCAGACCAGCAGCAGGCAGAGCCAGAGAGTCTGTTGCTACAGATTGAAGCTCTACAATCTCAGATGAAGGAACAAGCTGAGCTATCTAGAGAGCGGACGGAAGCCTTGCTGGAGGATCGTAGGGTCAGGATGGAAGAGATGCAGACTGTGATTGAGAGAGATCGCTCCAAGATTCACTCCCTCAATGAAAAGTAGGAACTCCCTTCATTGATTCCTTATAATCTTAAATGAACTTGACAAAGGTGCCCAGTGGCATAGCTAATGATAGGGGAGGAGGATGAGGGGCATGGACCCCTCTGCTCAAAGACTGCCTCCTACTAGAAACTGAGGTCCCTTTAGGGCCCTCCAGCAACTTGGACCCCAGTTACATCCTTGAAGGTACCAATAAAGATAAATGCACATGTGTGCAGTTTGGACAACGGGCAGGGGTTTCAAATAGATTATATTACCTGGTGTTTGTGTTGTTGCATGAATTGGCAAAACATTTCTAAATATGTGGAGTGCCCTGGCCTCATGGTCTGGAGCATTGAACTCGTTGTCTGTGGGTAATTCTACAGGTTGTGGGTTCGAGTCCAGCCTGGGGTTATGGTGCATGTTCCCTTTGGCAAGACACTTTGTCACTCATTGCTTCGCCCCACCCAGGAGTAAATGGGTACCTGTGAGAACAGAGATCGCAATTGTGATTGATTTTAGCTACCTTGCGTCGAAATGACTACACCGAGCTGTATGGGCTTTATTCAGGAGTCGACTATATTAAATTGAAAGCGAGGTAAAATCTTCATATTTGGAACTTGCAAAGAGAAATTAAAGCAGTGACATAAAATTAATTACAAATTAATACCAGTCTGCTTTAATGAAAATTTAAATTTGTTGTTAAACATACCCTAATGTTTTTAAGCCACATTTAAAATAAAAATTGAAAGTGAGGCTAGAATGCAAAAATAGTCTGGCACCATCCTATTCAATAGTTTATAAAATACTGTCAGGGAACATGACTAAAATGACTTCCTCGTGAATAAAAATCCATATTCCACAGGAAGCTGAGATTGTATTTGCAATGTTTCATTGGCCCAATGATCAGGGGTAATAATAATGTAAAGCACTTTGATCTTAGTTATTTTAGAAACCACAGTCTTTCCACACTAGTATATTGGCAACACATCTTGCCAAAATAACATGGAGGCATATGCAGTGTGTGCTTGCTGAAATTACATGAGTCAATTGACTAATAAAACCAAATTAGGTTTTGTCCATCACCGATGTATAAACACTGTATTCTCAGTGTGTTTCCTCCCGAGTGAAAGTTGGAAAAAAATCACTCCGGTGGGACTCGAACCCACGACCTCCTGCTTTCTATTGCAGATGTCTTACCATCTTATGAATAGTTAATGTAGTACCCGCTGCTATGTACATCAGATTCGAACCAGCCAACTGATCCCGTTAGCTCGGTGGTCAAGTGGTAAGACATCTGCACTAGAAAGCAGGAGGGTCATGGGTTTGACCGGAGTGATTTTTTTCAACTTTCACTCGGGAGGTAACACAGAGAGTATACAGTGTTTATATGTCGGTGAAGGGCAAAACCTAATTTGATTTACATCACCCCGACGCAAAATGAAATGAAATCTTATGAATGACTAATAAGACACTTACCGTTCTTTAAACAAAAGTAGAATGTGTATCCTTTATTCAGCTACCTTGTTCAACCATCATACATCACTTGTCATGGACATTCTTCTGTTAATAGGTTACATCGTACACAGCAGATGTTGTATGACAGCACTAAGGACTATCTAGAGCTGAAGTATGAAGGACGATCTCAGGAGCGAGTCTGGATGGCAGAGAAGGACCGTCTACTACAGGAGCTGGATCGATGTAAGGAACAACTAGATGTCTCCAAAGATGACGTCTTAGTCATCTCAGATCATGCACTGGAAGAGAGACAAACACAGAACTTGGAAATTGAGGTGGGCATTATAGAGAAGCTTCCTGCACAAAGAAATCATTTCAAGTTAAATACAATACAATAATGATCATTTTCAAGCAAATTCGTTTGAATTGCTTTAAAAAAAGAACTAACTTTTCCATTCAGAAATCATTTTTTTTTCAAAAGTTAGCAAAACAAAAGAATCTTGTTACAAAGTCACAACTGAATGGCCCCCTCAAAAGCTGCAATCAAACTATTGGGGTAATCGCACATAAGGAGCATTTTGGACTTTGGCAGATCTACTTTATTCAGTGTTGTACAAATGATACTGAATGATTGCAACGTGGTGGTTTTAGTCTGACGATCTCTTCCATGCAAAATCTTGAGGAAGGCGAGGAGAGCATAGAAGACAAATTTCACCGGCAGTTGTTGTACGAAAAAGACGGCAGGCCTAATGCCAAACTTTTTCCAGTTCCACCTACCATGCGTTAGTGGACTTGTTGTCTTGGACTTTTTCCTTGACTTTCTCCGTGTCTCAAGTAAGATGTGAATTTCTTTAATTACGAGTCAGAAACTCCAACCCTAATTCGGGCTTTTTAATCTTATGGAAACACTGAACATTTTTCACATCGTAAAATTTCATTTGGATCTACATGTACATGTAAAAGAAAAAAAGGAGGCGATGTCCAGAAATTGAACACGAAGTTTATTGTACATATAGTACGTATGTGTACTTGCGGCGCAGCCCAGATTTCGGACACAGAATTTTGGCCGGCCTATTTTCAGATTTTTTCCCCATAGGCCAGTTTCATCCCTGTATGGTCTGTGACTTGAAACATAGATGAGTTTGTGAACAGAACGGGACAAAAAAAACACAGAACCGGGCCTGCGGATCTCGATTTCAAATAAAAGTTGCTGAATCATGTTGCTGAATCATGTTTTGAATTGGGCCTGAATTGAGACACATTCTCATTGAGCCGATTGCAGCTACGCGGTGTCATGCACTGATACGATGAATTAAGGCAACTGCGCGCACGTTTGCATCGTGTCAACGCTTGTGCGTGCTTCGCCAAATAAAAAAGCGAACTACTAACAGAAATTTCCAACGATGCGTCTGAAGACCTTCTTTTGTTGATTTCTTCAAAATGACAGCATGTCAGAAAGAATAATTTCAGAGAGAATTTAGTACTGTCAACCAACCAAGTATGTTTTTCAACGATAATTACATCAGTTACTTTTTGGATAGCTGCAAATGATGGACTGTAGCTTAAAATGACTAGAGACTTAACTTACTGTACAGAATGTACACTGCTGGGTGCGTCCATTTTTGTGCACAAACCTATGGAGAGCTCAGAATTTTTTACTGCTTTTGGGCAATTCCACGGTAACGGAAGGACGTTTTCGCTCATTAAACAAAATTTCAAATGTGCCTATCACAGCCACTGTTATTAGTTACAGCAAGCAAATGTCACAATGGTATTGCTATAATGCTACCTTCAATTTCCACACTTTTGGGGGGCATGCATACCTCTCGTTAATGAATTATGAATATTAATGAGGTCGGTAACGGAAGGACGGTAAAACGGACGAGGGTTTTCCAACTTACACGCGTTTTGCATAAACTCTGTGAATTTTATGGGGCAATTATATTTCAAAGGTAGGAAATGGAATCCCTGCGGCTTTATCTATACTATACCACCTTTCATTTGACTTTAAGTGTTTCGGTGATATAATTACAATGTCTTAAGTGGATTATAATTTGGTAGCGGAAGGACGGTAACGGAAGGACAAAAGGTTTACTCAATTATAGCATGAATAAAATGTGAATTTACACTAATTATACAAGTGAAATAAATTGCTGAAATGTGTAACTGAATGTGAAATCAACAATATGCAGACCTGGCATAAATAATTATACCCAAGAAACTATTGAGATAAAGATAGAAGCCTGCTAATTAATGATAACAAATGAAAAATGAAAACAACCAAAACACATAATTCACGAACACAAGACAACTACAGAAATGGACTTCAAACCCATCACCTTAATCCTTAAAAGTTTTAAATACACAGTATTTGAGCACTTGAGTATATTGGTTACATGTTCACCAACAACTTTTAATAATAACACCAGTAGGTTCAGTGGTTTACCTAAAGGGTGGGGGGGGGGGGGGGCAGGGGCGACCAGCTTACATGTACATTAAAAACATCTACAGGTAGAACTGATGGCTTCAGAATCATTGTGCTTTAAAAAATGTTTTAGGTGTTGCTTTTAATTGAACTCTAAATTCAGTGTTTGAAATCAAATTTTAATGATTTAGAGTATTAACAATAATTATCTTATAAACATCCAGCCTGAAGTTGTTAACTTAATTTGTCAAAAATTGCACCTCACATGTCTTACACATGTAAATTGTATGAAAGTGCCCAATAGCACTGGTACTTTCTGCCATCTCATTTTTTACTTAATTTGCTTCTGGAATGGCTTCACAGAAATTGTATCTTTCTCTATTGTCCATGAATGGTGATAGCAGCAACTTAATGATTTGATTTTCTGCAACAACTCCATACATGTATGAGTACCGGTACATTGTCATACATGTACATTGTACATGTACATGTTATACATATGCCTGTGCCATCCTTTGTAATGAACACCTTGCCCTGCTCATACCAGCTTTGTGAAGGTGGGTCACATGAATGTCCTTTCAATGCGCATTATACATGCATGTAGTTGCAGTGATTTTCATTTTTCAAACATGAGCACAAATGTCGTTACATTTGATAAAAATAACATTTGTCCTTCCGTTACCGTCCTTCCGTTACCAATTTGGTAACGGAAGGACGGGATTTAATTAATTGTAATTAAAAAACGATACGTACAGCAGTGTCAGTTATAATGTCATATTGAAGGCCTACCTAAACTTGCTTTGCACAATAACTTTCATTGCATTCATACTGCAAGTTTTGAAAATAAATTAAAAATATGTATTTTTTCGGTAACGGAAGGACATTTTCGAAGGCTGAAATATTAGAAGTCACTGAAGCGAAACAAATTACGCAAAACGTAAAAAAAAAGGTCCAGTCAGTTTTTCATGACCTATACTTTCTCATGACAGAAACTGATGGCATGAGTACATATTTGTGTGTGTGTATTGGTAGAATACTGTCATATCACTATTTATCACATTTTTAGGATTAAAACAGGATTATTATGTAATCCTATTTTGTTGGTACCAAAATGTATCAAAAATAGAATTCCGACTTCAAATTCCCTTCAGTGGATTGTTCTGATTGCTATCGAAAAGTGAACAAAATAAACTCTGATATTCAAACAGTACCAACTGCTCATGCAAAGTTTAAGCCATTTCTGATCTATTGCCGAAACCTGTTTCTAGTACCATTCATTCTTGTGGTTATTTATCCACAGGATAAGACGGAAAAGCTTGCTAAGCGTTTACACCTGATGAACCAGCGGTATGAGGCCATGGAGAAGCGACGGAATCTGGAGATAGAAGGTTTCAAGAATGATACCCGAATCTTGAGAAACCAACTCAAGGATGTTGAGAAGCAACTCTACAAGGTGGAGTATTGTCTGTTCATGTCAGTCATGTTGTTAGTTTGCATTTGTCCGTTGCTGTTTTCTACTTTCCTATGTTGGTCAGCTATAGTGCAGTTCATGCAGATCGTGGTGCGGACACTGCGAACAAGTACCCCAAAGGCTGGGTCATGCTTAGCCCCATATGTGGCCATTTTACTGGACTACCTCCATAAATAAAGGCCACACTTCCACCATGTACAAAAACATGTCGAACTTTTATATTTGTTTTATATAACTGACACATAGATCCTTGTCATTTGATATTTGAACTTTTATTTCAATATAAAATTGGTTGAAAATGTATTTTTCTCTTCCAAACCACCCCTTCACGAAAATGTTTGAACCCAACGCTGGCTACGTGCAATGCTAAACGCGCACACCAGCATGCATTTGCATACAACTGCGTCATGGAACAAGAATGATCCTAACTGTTCAATAGTATTTCCCATTCCCCATAGGCGAATGGGACTTTTTGAGCCCCGGCGTGAATGGGAGCAATAACGAATGCCACATGATGTGAGTTCCACCAATCAAATGACAACGATCTGTATGTCGATTATATAAAGTAAAATGGTGCATTCCATGAAACGTGCTCTTGACTAAATCAAGAAGCAGATTCTGTTAGTGAGATGTTATGTCATCTTAGTCCATAATGATGTTGTCACTGAAATCAAGATTGCAAGGACATCATTGCAGGGATGTAGTCGAGTCCATCACTAGTCCCTGCAAGTCCACCACAAGTCCTCCAACACCAATTTAACTCACAAGCTATTCAAATGAGCTTTGACAAAGGCATCCAGTGTATCTTGTGCCTGGACTTGTGATGGACTCACGAATTACTTGTGTCTGGACTTGTGGTGGACTTGTGAATGGAATCAACTACATCCCTAGCCCTGGATCATTGTCAGTGCTTTGTAATGTAAACCCTTCTTGTTTTGTTGCCATGCTGAACAGGTGACAGTGGGTGTTGGGGAAGATGGTGATATGTTCATGCTGCATAATATTCATCAGACAGCTAAGAGATCAAAGAAGATGCAGAGTGAGCTACATCAACTCAAGGCTCTGATCTATGGCGTGGAAACAGACCTCAGGAATCTCTAGTAATACACACAATCACCCCTCACTGTGTCTCCACATTTGATCAAATGACTTATAACTTTGGGAAGCCTCATTCTCTGTTTGAAGATGCATAGGATCTTGTGATATTTGTGCCTTTTGGGTTTTTTTTTTTGAAGCAAAAACAAAATTGCTCCAAATCTTAAGTTAGATCCATAACAACTTACCTGTTGAAGTTATAGCTGAGTGGATACTGTACATCTTGAGAATACAGGGAAACCTTATCAAACTTTCAATCAAATTGGACATAGGACTTCGTTGCTATTGTCTTTCCCACAAAGGCCTATGCATAAACATTTTATTGTGCCAAGTGAATAGAAAAAGTGAACCTTTTTGCCACCCTGGGTCAAAAATCTGATATTCACAAGAACAGTGCATGTATGTCTGATGTTATTAATAATTGACTTGTCTGACAACTTAAGATTAGAAACAGTTGGAGGAGATCCTATAAATCCACCGATGCTAGCATGCTGATAGTTCAGCTGCTGTATTCGCTGTTCTTGTGAACGATTTCAAACATTTAGAGAAAAAGGCTCCTTTTTGTTCATGTGCTACGTGAGAACTGATGTCACTTTGTCACTTTAGTACGAATGGCCGGTTGTTCTGCGTAGAATAGTAACAGTACTAACATAACAATGCCCACATGTACAGTTACTTTGGTTACTTAAAACTGGAGAGAGTTTGTTGTATTTGTTATCTCACAGGAACCTTGACATGAAAAGGCTCCATTATATTGTGGGGGCAATGTATACTGCCAAAATAGTCAATGTTTTGAAATTGAATCTGTTTAAAATGGAGGCAATAACTACTGAAATTGCATGCCAGTATGTTCAGATGTTATTGAAGTAATGCTTGTGCAGCTCACATATGGGTTTACTGCGCACAGCAAAGACTTCTCAAATGCGATACTTTGGGTACACTATGGTAAGGCCCAAGGAGGACACAAAGTGGACATCGCTTTTCTGCTGTCAGAAGAGCAGATAACAGAAGTATGGCCATTTTCCGACAATACATTTTTCATTTTGTAACTTTGTGATGTGGAAGCTCTTTAAGGGGGAACGCCTAAAAAACCCTGTTAACCTACACTCAAAGAAAAATGAAACGGTGCTTATTTTTCTCAGAAGCACCGTTTCATTTTCCTTTTAACCAAAAGCAGAATACAAATGGTAGTTACCAAAGGTTCGTTTTGCTTTTCTGGTTCTAAGAAATGAGAAAAGCAAAAAACAAAAATATACATTTTGGGTAGCACAAAAGCAGGAAATGGAAACGTCAGAAACGGTTTGATCTGATTTTTGAACAAGAGAAAAGCAGATCTCCACTTTTTCTCCCTCCAGCAAGGGAGGAAAAGCAAAATCTGCATTTCAGGTAGCATAAAAGCACTACAGTGGATTTTATTAAACAGTAAATTCTGCATTTATGGTAGCACAAAGGCGGGAAAGCAGAACAAAATGAACCATTCAAAAAATACTCAATCTGCTATTCTGACAGCAGAAACGCAGATGTCCACGTTTTGTCCTCGATGACTACATGAACAGTCCTGTTCATTTCAGAATGGTAAATAGTGCCCTCTTCTCACCATCTAGTTTGCAAGTTGTCCTTCAATACCCATTTGTTGTTCCAAACATTTGTGTCAAGCTTGTTATTCCAATTAACTATGCACAAAAAGTACATGTATTGGGGTCATGTCCTGCATGTTGTTCTAATGTAGGAGAGATGTACAAAGTAGTGTATGCAATGAAGTCACATGTATTCTACCATACAATCTTATATTGGTGTCCAATATCAATAGGTCTCATTCAAATGACGTCATTTCCTACAGACCAGCCACATGCATCAACATTTTGAGCATCAACTGAATAACGCACATCGGCTGTGTCGTATTTCAAACACATTTCAAGCAAGAAGCGCGTGTGTTTGGAACATTTTTAACACTGCGCAATGCGTGCTTGATTGCGTAAAATAAGCAATCAAGAGATGACCGTCATTGAGTGAGCCCTATTGATATGCTTGGCAGTAAGGATTGAACAGAGAGATTATTTTATGCAACTGTTAATATCTTTTGGAATTTTTGCAGTGAAATACTTTTTAAAATAAGTTGGCTATTTTAAGGACTTTATTTTTATGGTGAAGGATTTTGGAATTAAATGTAGAATATTAAAAGGATCTATGCAAGCTTTCAGAACAAATTTGTGATTGGCATTCAAGCGCTTTATTTTGTGTGTTCCATGAGTGTGAGTGGGTTTAACAATTCATCTTCCAGCACACTTCATGCACAGTTACGTGCACGCTGTCGTCACGTTTCAGCTTTCATCTACCACATACGTACGTGCAGCAAGCGTCTTGCGTTGTGTGGTGCAGTGTGGCCCATTATGGGATAATAACACTGTTGTTGCCATCAGGCATGCAATTTTTCCTTGGATCTGCTGATTCCTTCTTTCTTTTTCTTCTCATGAATGCCATTACAATTTTTGAAAAATACTGTACAAAGGCTTGTGTGGTTTGGAATTTCCTCCTTTTCTTGTAAATTTTGAGTTGCATGCCTGTTTCATGTATCAACCTATCAGTATAAGAATTCAAATTTGGTTGAAGATAAGCACATATGTACAACATACATGTCTGTTAGTTTGTTACACACAGTGCCACCGTGTTGAATGTTTTGACCAATCAGAAATCACTAATAGAAGCCACAGTTGAGCCAATACCAGCATGTATGCACGAGGGGGGGGGGGG